GAGAGTTACGATCTTATGTCTCATAGTTGAGAATACATTTTTAATAACTAAGAATATTTCGTTAGTTCTTTTGTGGTAACTATTTCCCATCAGGTAGTTCTTTTTTTTGTGATATCAAGTGCTGGGACGAATAAGTCGTGCGCCTGATGGTAAACGACATGCCTGTCCATAGCAGTTGCAGTGCCACTCAGAGCTATAGATCGCAAATATGTGAGGGGCACTGCCACTGCTCTCGCCGCCCTGATACATAAGCTGACAAGTCCCATGTGCCTGTAATTTCAACAGCGTCCTTACCCTTCTAAACTGGAACACAGTAGTTAATGATCACATTACTGGATGGCGACAGAAATTGGTAAGTTGGTAATACTTCCATAGACGAACTCTTTCACAAGAAACTTTGCTGCTTCTGAAAGTTCACCTTCCAACGGATGACATTAGTAACATAAAGTACAAGATATATTCGTCGCACTTCTTTTTTTTCCAAAAATACTAAGAACATTTTACCGTTCGTGTTTATCAAGCAACAAAAAGCGAGCTGCCAGAATTTTAAGTACCCCCTCGCGGGAACCCAGGCACATCAAATTAATCTAGATACAAACCTAGTACTTAGACTGTCACTCTTTTGTGTCAATACTGAATAAATAACGGTAATTTTTACATTGTACAAACTAAAATATCAGTTACCCTTAAAACCATTCTTGTTTCACACAACAGTCACATTAATTACATGCTGTCAAATCGGTTTGACGGCGTCCTAGTTGTACATTGGTAATTGAAGGCGTCACAGCTACTCTTGAAAATTATACACTTACGTCATCATCGAAGCAGAGCGAGCGAAACTGTCTTGCATTCCCTCAAATTGGACAAGCCTACGAGCGAAATTAAACACGGCCATTCCTCGTTCGAATGAATTTTGAACTTCAATCTGTGATCTGGAATAATTGAGGTTAACGCTCTGGCCACACAGAGGCGGTAGCGGGAGCGTTCCAAGACCGGGAATGTTTGTAATGTTCGAATTCTTGTGCACTCTGCCGCTATGACAAACAGTCACTGGCTAGGTTTGAGGCAAACGCGAGGCGGGTGCGAGCGCAAAGCATTCTATTGAGTTCTATGCAACCCGGTACACATTCGCTTTTCCCGCTGTACCACGCCTGTGTGGTTAAAGGTCACCATGTTAATCTTGGAAAAAATGTTTAATATGGAAAAAGAAAAGTAAATAATTTTGGGAAGAGAACCGTTCCGCCTAGTTGGCTTAACCTAGCTGTACATTTGTATACATTCATGAAATTGAATAGTTTGTCACAAAAGCGGTGGTAGCCTAACGGTTTGACTTACCGTCTCTTAAGCAGAGGCCGTGATTTCGAAATAAATATTAGACAACGTCACACTTACTTTGCTCTGATCCCAAAGTAAGCACTTGTGTTATGAAAATCGGAAACAACGACGGTACAATAAACAGTCCTATATTTTTCTACATTAGTTTTGTTCATAGTGACCCTCCCTATCAACCTCTTGATTATGCGGGAAGGGTACGCGTAATGGGCGAGCGAACTCGCACAGGGACCATCGAAGTCGGGTCCTGAACGGATCAGCACGTATGCACGGACTGCATCCGCCGGTTCCCTGTAAAGTGAGCCGCCTCGGGTGGCACATACAGCACCCTCCCTATTTTTCAAATAGGTACCGGAGCTGTAGGCACGCTCACTTCCCGACGCCGAATGAACGGCGTCTCTCCAGTTCCCAAATTCCTACGCGGCCGGAGGGACCGAAAGATGTCTAGCTCATCCTCTACTAGCTCTCCGGGCTAGTGCCAGAGATGCCAAGTATATCCGGATAAACAATAATGTCAAGTGTCTACGGCTGAGTGTATCGCCGACAGTGCAAGAGCTCTACACCTCTACATTACAATCCTTGTATAACCCTAGTATTCTGCTCTGCAAGACTGCACGGAGGCAACCTTATTTTCATCTCTCTGAGCGCCTGGTGTCATTAGTCAGATTTAGTAGGCTATTGAACCTTAGTTATTTTCGATTTAGTATCAGAGTGATGCATCTGTTACGTAGCAACTGTTAAGTAATCTGTGCTAATGTCTTGGGTCTTCTTTTTAGGAAAGTCTTATGTAGCAACTTTTTGTCTGCACGAGAGTAACGTAAAAGTCGGGAACCATCAACAGCGAACCGGATAGTTACGACTTTCCTTTTGTGCTACGACAATAAAAACGTATTCAGTAGGACAGCTGCCTTCTTCTTCGTCACGCTTTTAGTCCCGTAAGACGTAAAATGTTAGTGTCTGTGATACAATGGGAACAATAGAATGCGTCTGGTTGGTCGTTTGGCACAGAAGGGAGCTTTTATATCGCGCGGTCATAGTTTTACGCATTTCACATGATTGTTTTTTATAGCTGGGAGATTATAGCTGGGTGTCTATCTGCCGTAGAAAGTTGTCAGTCGAAGACATGGTTCACCGCTTAGTGATGAGTTAATGAATAGCAATTTATTTGAATCCAAGTACTGTCCCTTGTAGTATACAATCATAAGGTCATATTTAATTATGACTTGTCGTATGACTTTCTATTCTATAGCTACGACAATTAATATGGCCAAAAACCTGCGCTTTTTGGTCTAAATTTTTAGAGGCTGATAATAGCTTCCATTAGTGTTGCTTTGAAGAATATTTTTTGAAACGTTTGTAATAAATTTCATGTCATGTGTTAGTATACCAAATACATTTAAAATAAAACGATAGGTTCATAGACGCACTAAAAGGATATTTCTAAAAAAAACGCCTTCACCCGTTCTCTCCGTAGGTAAACCCACAAATTCACAGAACACTATATCCACAAGGAGCACCAACTGGCCACCACGAAGCTAATCTGTCCTTCCTCTTTTTTTCCTTTTTAATCCCACCAATATCATTTAGTGTTGCCATTTTGTGTTTTAGTCGATTATACTCAAGTCAAATCGGTAACTTAATCTATTAAAATGTGATAGTTATTGCAAGTAATATCAGGAAAATCAGGAACAGAATGCCAGCCCGCGGCATTCATCCTTTTAAAACACCTCCGATAAAGATGGCTCCACTATCGCCATGCGCGCGAAAATGTCTCTCCTGTTTCTCGATTTTAGCTACAAATTTTTACGTCATTTTAAACTAACAATTCAAGATCAATAAAATATAAAAATTACAATTGGAAATTAAGATGAGAGTAAGTGTTCTATAACGAAACTTAACAATTTAAAAAGTCACAATCGAATATTTTTATGGATCTATTATTAACAGACAAGAAATTTTTATTATAACTCGGTAAGTACGAAACACGCGAGTAGGTATTTAATATATTAATAATATCGAGTGATTAGGTTTTCGCGATTGATACACATAACGATAAAACAAAATAATTTGTAAAACGTACGTAGCGTAAAGTGGAATGTTTCTTTGGAAAATTTAAAAATAATGTATTTAATTAATAACTTTTGTAACTATAGTGAAACACAGGGTGGTTTGTATTAATATTAGTCATAACTGATTGATGACTTATCATCTCAGCCAGCCGTGACCATGGGACCTGTAAAGAACCCGAACCTATTGAAAAATCAAATATACGTGACTTAGATCCGAAAAATAGTTTCATTTCCTACATTAATAATGTGTTATTAAAATAAAATAAAAAAATAATATACACTTTTTAAACAAATCATGACACATTAATGACGACCTCGGCGGCCCAACGGTTTGGCGCTGGATGACGAGGTCCCGAGCGCGATTCCCGGTAGAACTAATTTGGGAAATGAACTTTTCCGAAGTTATTCTGTTGTGGGTGTACTGGGAAGTACCCCAGATTGAATGCCACTGCTCTGGTAATCTCGGTACGGGAAGGTCCGTATTTTGATACCAGACAAATTGTGCAGTTGTCTAGCACATTATTATTAATAAAATCGTCGGCGACTACAGTAGAAATACATGAGATCATGTCGCGTATCAAATGATTGTTTATCTAACTTCGTAAGTTTAACTCAAGTAATGACAGCTACTTGATCGCTTTTGTAAACAATTCATTTGACTCTTTCAGTTAAATATTTACACTTGGCATAATTCCACTAAATGAAACACGGGAACTATTTCCATGTTATAACGATGGTTGTAGTTGTAACAAATTTTTGTTATGATATCTGTAGTCTAAAATAATATACTCACTAGTCAGCAAGCATTTTATTACAAAATTAAAGTTTTACTGTTGAGAGAAAATAAATAAATAATTATAATTATTTTGATAACCTCCGTGGTCGAGTCGCTCGCACACCGGTTTTCATGGTGTCGCTGTCCCTGGCGTTCCGTGTTCGATTCCCAGCCGGGACATTGAAGAAACTAACTTTTCTGTATTATCTCGGGTCTGAATGTTTGTGGTACCGTCGTTGTTTCCGATTTCCATAACACAAGTGCTTTAGTTACTTTAGTGATGTTGTCTAATATTTATCTATTTATTATAATAGTTATTTTTTGTTTGTTACTGCTGGTGATTTTCTTCATAATAAGTAACTGTTAGGTTTCGTGTCGCATTGTTGCTTCCCTATTTCTTTATACTTCTCGTTGTTTTGAGCTGCCTTTATTCAATTTTGATGAGAAAGGACGGGGAGTCAACCTACTTTTAAAACTTATGTGTACTGTTTTAAAACAATCTATTTTTTCAGCTGATGATGTGCAGAAAAATTCAGTGCATTTTCTACATACCCACTGTGATTGCAGAGACATATATAGATAAATATCGAAACCTCATGTTTCACTTAGAAACTTGAGGTTTTTTTAAGGTTTTATCCTGCAAATTCTTCTGCAAATTTGGTTTTAAAAGTATTTCTTACTTTAGTTAGGTAAATTAAATATCATTCAAATGTTTTTTTATAAAATTGACAAGGGAATTAGCATTCTTCAGACCTTATCATTAATAAGCTTTAGTAAAATGTACTGAAATATGCCTATGTAACAACATTTGCTTTTTCTTCTAGCGGTTTCATTAGAAACCCTGGTCGAGAACTGCCATAAGCTGCTGGAAAAATTTCACTACTCCTGGGAGATGATGCCCCTGGTGTTGGTGATACTCAACTACGCAGGCAGCGACCTCGACGAGGCTTCTAGAAAAATTGATGAAGGTAGGAAGCCGAGCGAAGGGTATTATGCTACAGTTTATTAGCACTGTACTGTTCTATATTAACCTATGTAATCCACTGTCAGACATGTTTTCTCCTATCAGAGACACGTTTAAAAGTAGTTCGTCCATTTTCGGTTTTTTTTTTCAAATGATAACAACCAATATGAAATGTAGAGGTATTTAATTTAGTAAGCATGTTGAAAAGTGCTGATAAAATATAGCATAACACTTGTTTTGATGATTGAAAAATTGTGCTCGTGAATTTCATTTAGTGTTGATTTTTTTTTTGGGACCTGAAGAACAGTTGATAGTTTTGTATAAACCGGAGTACAGTGTAGAGTCATGAGAATGTAAACTTTCGTTATTGACGCGAATATAAAAGCTACTTATTTTTCTTTACGCAACAAACAGTAGTATTTGAAAATTGACATAAAAATAAAATCGCTGTTTGAATATCGGATTCCTAACCCCGCGTTCCCAAGACTAGGACTTACTTGGATGCCTTGATTCCAATATGGTATTTAAAATTTTAAATTTTACTATGTTAAGTTGTTTTCATGGTTGCCTAGTCTCCGTGTCTCTTATATTCGACATTTTTTCATTCAGTCAAAAGACATGTTGTCACTTTATTAAAGTGCTGCTACATTTTGTTCTGATGCTAATGTGTGAGTACTTTTAAAAAAGTACAGTTAACTTTTATGACTTTTTTGTTATTCGGGTAACAAAAAAGTTATACATTAAAAAAAAAGAAATGTTATACAAAGTTATACACGTTATTCGGGTATACAAAAGTGTTTCATTGTTGTGCAAACGAATGTATAGAAAGTGAAAACCTTTTCTAAAAAAATAGTTACGTTTAAAATTGATTAAAATTGCGGGTTATAAATATTTTAGGAGTACATGACACGGTGCCGTTGCCGTACCAAGAGGCGCGACAGCATAGCTCGCCTCCTACGATCCTATTTGACCATTACAAAATTACTCAACTCGTCGTTGTGACGTTATATTGAAAACGCTCTTAAAAATTTTTATATGTTTAATATATCGTAGAGCATATGGAATTTAAACTAAAAGATTTCCACTTGGAACTTCATCTTAACTTTACATAATAGGAATTGCATAGACATTACCTTTAATTTAATCATTACACCGTTCATATTTCGTATTCAACTTCTATTGTTCTTTATATTACTTATTGACAATCCATATTCTGTGTTTTTAGAGTAATCCGTTTATAAATAACACGAAAGAGTTCCTCCGGGTCCCAAACTACGACCATTGTGTTTTAAAGTTCATATCAATGCAGTTTCTAGCCGATGCGAATGTCCACCATATGCGACTCTTATTGCCCACAGGGAAGATGATAATCAACGAGTACGCGAGGAAGCACAATCTGAACATCTTCGACGGACTAGAGCTGCGGAACTCGACTCGCCAGTACGGACTTTAAATACAGTAATATTTAGTGTTTTCCCCCAACAACAACGAGAAACAAAACACTGTCACATTGTACCTGATGTTAGTAAAAAACCGACACAACACTTAAAATACAATCACTAAAGCAATTGTATAGTGAAAATACCAAAATTTTGCTCATATATAATCTGAAACACGTCATTTAGTTTATCAGATACACATTTCATTGTACCTCTAGTAATGCAATTATTTAAATTGTTAATATTTTGATAATGAGAAAATAAATAATTTCCTAAAAAAATATTGATCACGGTACAAAAAGAATAAAAAGACGTTCGTCAAAATATGATATGATATAATACAAAATTATGAACCTTTATAAATCAAACCGAGATCTTTATATGGAGTGTTAGGAAGTTGATTGCAAATGTTTTAAAGGAGTGGTTTGGTGTCACAAAAACATTGTAATTCCCAACAAAAGTTTACAATTTGAATTACAATAATTTACTCTTCCATATTAAATTTCATCGAGTACTTGAATTGCATAGGAACATAAAATTAGTTTTCGATTTTGTCTGTTGTGCGAAATCTTATTTCGTTTCAGATGTCATAGAACTTTTTTAAAGTATTGCAATCATCTATCTAATGATTTGGATATAAGTAATTGTAATATTGCAACTAGAGGTGCGACACACCCGCCAATTACGCAAAATAAACACAAAAAAACGGAATTCGCAACATAAAAATATAGAAATGCTGTTAAGAACTGATTCTTTATGTACAATTTGCAAAATAATTACGTAAATCCTGAGAAACAATGTTCAAATATGCCATTTTTAAGCTGTCATGGTAATATGTGTACTAAATTTATGTAAAACTAAATTTATTATCTATTGTACCTATATATTTAGTAATATACGTTAAGTTTATAACATAGTTCTAATTTCAATAAAGCCGCGGCGTGTTTAAGGATGCCGCGATATAAATGCCGTCAGTGTGCGCTTGCATGTAAGGATGCCGAAGGATCCCTTGCCGTCCCATCCCGTCAGAGTAGGCGCCGGGCCTAAAAGTAAATTCGTAGGTATTATATAAACTACGTTCAATTGTTACATTTTTTCTATAGTTAGTCGACAAATAGCTATAAAACCAAATACATACTTCGACCTACTTCATATATGGTCACTCTAATCCTTTAAAGCTATTTCAACGACACTACAGTGTCTGCGACATTACATCCTATCATTAGATTGGACACAGATTAAAAATATAATTCACACGTACAGTTAGCCAACTGATGAATTTTCTGGAAAATCGACACTAACTTGTCAATGTATTTAAAAAGAAAACGTTTATTATACCTCATCACAAAAACAGATACAATAAACTGTAACTTGGACTCCTAACGGCCGTTTTCTATATTTGATCCTGAATTTAAGATTTAAGATTTTTTCTATCCAGATTTTATTCGATCCATCGATAGCTGCCGGATCTGTATTTCAATATGTCTATCTCGGTTCTAGCGCCCTTAAAAAAAAGAATCGGTCTTAAATTTACTCCCTCTCTGACGTTTAGTTCCACGCAATCGGAGTAAAAGTTCATTATATGAATTAGTGAGTAAAAGTATAAAATATTTAAACCGTAAGTACGTCAAGAATGACGTGAATTTTCGAGGAACAGAACGGAACGTCTATTGTCAAACGGGTGGAATGGCCTAGGATGGAAATGGCTGTATGGCACATTAGTGCCTTTGTCTTTTCCAATGGAAAAAACAGTACCAAAAAATAATAAAAAATAAAGGGACGGCGCGTGGCGGCGGCGGGGAAATGTCTGTGTCAATTTATGTTTAATTGATGTTTGTTCGTATTCATGACGTGATAAATAATCTGAATTATAAAAATACCGCTTTGATTTGACTTTCATAATGGCATTATTTCATTTAGAACAAATTCAACTGATTTTTGTTGTTCCTAAATCTGAATGTAAACTCGGCGTCAGTCAAACTTGCCATGAAATTATACGCTTGAACGTTCTTGACGACACAAGTTGCTCTTGATCGCTGTCGCTATTATTCTAGTCCGATAACTGAGCAAATTGTTCAATGTCACTTGAAACAACTGCCATTTTCACACTATTACACAGTACAATCGGTCAAAATTGGAGGATCGCTATCGATCGAACACGTTCAAAATCCGATTTGTCAAACCTATGACCCTCCCACAGATGGATTGAAACAAAAGATCGGAATAACGATCCATAGATCGGTGATTAAAATAGTAAAAATAGGATTCGGATTGATTATTCAAGCTCAGACACCAAACTATGGATTGAGATTAAATATAGAAAGCGGCCTTAAGTAACATCCACTTTTGTACCTAACTATTTTGAGACTTAAGTTATTGTTTTAAACCATATGTTCCCAAACTTTTGGGCTCACCGCCCATTTGGGCAGGATAAAAAAATTTCAACGCCCACCACTACAAAAAATTATTGAAAACACGTATTATATTAACTTAACCCAAAAAAATCACAAGGAAAAAATTATATATTTGTAGAGTAGTTTACATAGATAATTCAGGTTTTTTTAAAATGTGGTAGCACCTCCTGGACAGCATCAACGCCCCCCAATTGCTTCCGAGGTCCTTACTTCAGCGCCCACCGGGGGCGGTAGGGACCACTTTGGGAAACGTTTTAAACCATAGCAGAAACATTATCGTAGTGCTACCGATGTCATCAATCATCGATAATCTACCATCTACCAATATAATACAACATAGTTCTTCTTAGAATTTTGAAAATAGAAGATGTTGCACGACCAAATGACAATGAATATGGTTAAAGGTTCATTTATTGTGAAAATCATTTGACAGATACAGATAAAGCAATATACTGCCGTCCGTTAACTAAAGTGACAAAATATTTTTTTGAGATATCATAGAAAATCATAACCCAGTTTTAGAAAATTGAAATTTTTTAATGATATTTCAGCCATGCATCGTTAGGGTAAGTTCCGATAAGTCGAACAAGTTAACTAATTTTAACTGTTTTTAAAAGAGAATGTTGTGCTCTATCTTTTGCTATTTAAAACGGATATTTGACCATTTGTCGCTTAGCCGAGTTTTAGTTAGTGAACGGCAGTACACCGGTTTAACTAAAGGTTCAACTAAAGTCATATCTGGTAGTACGTAAACTGTTATAATATGCAGTTCGCAACACCGATTTGTGTTCCTGGTCAAGAGTCGTTACAACCTCCAATGGCTTTGGTTGATTCCGCACAACAGTGAAAGTTTTGAATTGATCACTTTGGAAAAAATATATAGTAAAATTGAGGATGTACACTGATACGGTGTGAAAACACGATTCCTAAAAATATTCACGATAGAAAAATAACATTACCATACAACATACCTATAATATAATATAATATAATATAATATAATATAATATAATATAATATAATATAATATAATATAATATAATATAATATAATATAATATAATATAATATAATATAATATAATATAATAATAGGTACATACGCCAATGATTTTTGTTTTTATATCAACAGTACTAAATAGAACACGTATAC